TTTGAAAGTTTCACTCATAAAAAGAATGGGTGATTTCTTTTCCATACCGTGGAGTCACCAGAGGCTTTAATTATGTCAGAAAAGGCTGAAATCATAGTGCTTCTTTTAAAAAAAGGAGTAACCCCCACCCCCGTGCAGTCACTCAGCCATCTCCCAAATTGAATTACTTGAAAGTTAGTAAGGAGCCCTGTAAAGAAGCATAGAATTTACCTTCAGTTTCTAAGATAACTCCCTGGGCAAGCTGCAGAGGGGGAAGCCAGGCAACAGGTAACCTGGATAACTTCCAGAGCGAACCCCCTCCCTCCAGAGGATCTTTCCAGCACCTTTTAAACTATCCTTGCTTGCCCTATTGGCATTTGGTAGTTATGACTTATACTTCTTCCTTTCCAAAGACTCTTCACAAACAGAACTTACTAATTCCTGTTCTCCCTGATTCATTCACAGAACTTATTCTTTTATAATGTATAAATATATTTCTTTAATTAAATAGGTAGTCTATATTTGGCATTGACAAATGGTCAAGGCAGAAAAATTTAAAAGATTTGAAGGACAAAAATGACCAGGACATCAGTGCCACTAGAGAGGGTTGAAATGAAACACTTGAAAAAATAAAGGAGAGAAAAAACAACAGTCATCTATGCTTTAGAAAGTTTTAAAGTTCCCCAGACACATACCCGTAGGTAGTAAACATTGATAGAGATGTTTCTTCATGAAGAATTGCTTGATATATATCTGCAATATTTTGCAATATAGAACTGAGATTATACTTTTTTATTCATGGTTTTCTTTAGCAAAAATGGTCTTAAAATATATGCACATGTTTGTAAGTTTCTTACTTATTAAAGTAGCCCAGGAAAGTAAAGTCATTCTGAGACTGAATCAGGAATATAGTGTCCTTCAATCTTAAAAAGCTTATTAATACGGAAAGCTTGCATGGAGGAAAAGATCTCCTGGCATCCACACTGAGAGGGAAGTTCATCTCCTAGGAGTTCACTTGGTGCCACCCCTGTCACCCCAAGCCTCCACAACTCTCTTCCTATTGACAAAGGAAACCCTTATCTCTTCTTGCACCCAACTCCCCTTTGCTGCAGAACAGGCTAGAATGAAACATTTTTCCAAAACAGAAACTCAGTTAATTTAAAAATAAAAAACAAACAAACAACAAAAAACAAATCAAAAAACCAAAAAATGACTAATGACTTGCAAACACCTAGAGATACTTGAGTTGTGACAGATGGGAGAGGTGCATAGTATCTGAGTCCCAAGTCACTAAGTTCAACAGGTTCCTTTTGTAGCTCCCCCCATTTCAGCTGCCAAATCGCATTAAGCCTGGTGGGTCCCCATCAGCTTTCGTAGAGGGTCCAGCTGTTAGTTTAGACAGCTTCCAGTTTGAATGCGTTTCTCTATAGCATGGTTCCTACACAACGACTAATGTGACTTAAGCGATGTTCAAACTATGAGGAAAATTTTCTTTGGGAAAAGCAAACTCAGGAGTGACTCTACACAGAGAGAAAGGCATAAATAAAGTTCTTGTGGACAGTGCTGGACAAGAGAAGAAGCTGCTCAGAGCAGTTCCAAGAGAAGAGATTGAATTACTAGCCAGGGAAAGATTATTATTAACCAGTTATTTGTGTGAGCCAATGGGAAGAAAAACAAGGTGTTTTAAGGCTAACTTGCCTCTCAACGGAGAAATTTAGTGACTTTTTTTTTTTTAATTGCAATGCCGTGCCAGAGAAAACTTTTCTCCTGAATGTTTTGGATAGTTCCTGTGATTCCACAGAACGCGGTGGAATCCCGTTTGCTAAGGAGATATCTGGGTTCTTTCTCATTTCATTAACTTATCACTCTTACTCAAAAAGTTTGCAGTAAGTTAGTTGGTTTGGAACGGATTTCATCCAATCTTTAAAAAGAGATTGGTTTTGACTGTCTCACCCGTCCTAAACATGGTGTTTTTTTTTTTTGTTTTGTTTTTTTTTTTTTTTAAATTGCAGTATCAGGAGATCTGATGATCCGAACTGCGTTTTGAAGGGAGGGGCAAGATTTCACTCAAAGCCAAACAAATAAGTCGAGATTTTCAATACAACAAGGTGTTATATTTGGAATCTGTCTTAGGAGTGTCGGCTGGGGTTGCTAGGGAGACTACGCAATGAACCAGATGCCACCAGGAGTGGTTTTCCATTATTGCTCTTTGCTCAACGCGACAGTTGGGGTAGGGGGGAGACAAATAAGGAGATTTAGTGGAAACAGCTAGGACTGAAGTCTGTAGAGGAGAATAAGTGACGGGCACAAGCCAGAGGCTCCCCTTTTCGGTGTTGTCAAGTTGCTGTCAGGCTCTTCAGCCGCCTGCGAGAGCCTGCTGCAGAAAGCCTCCGCTTGCTTGGAGGAGTGATTAAGCAGTGCCTAGGCACCCCAGAGTGAGTCAGAAAATTTCAACCACCAGCAGGGTGGTGAGACCAGGGACTGTCGGGGCTGCATCTACATTTTTTTTTTTTTAAACACGTATCTGTAGCGACTGAGATTATAGGCCTATGAACAAAGCGGTCCCCGCAGAAACCCTTTAAAGCGGAGTTGATACAGATCTTGCTAGCTAAAGGGTGGTGATGAAAAGTTGGTCCAAGAAAATTTGGGTTGTGCAATGGAAGACCCTTACTGTAGCAGTGACTGCGGGGTGGAGCTATATACAGCACAGACTCGATGCAAATTCGGGAGACTCCCTGGCAAATGGAGCATCAACTCTGGGCGCTCTGATTAACACCAGGCAGGGAGCAGGCAAGACTCTCCTCCCACAAACCACAGTCTTTAAGCTCACTGTGGTTTTGGGCTCAGATCCTGAGGTTTTAGAAGGGAATATCCTATGGTGCGGGAGTGGCTGGCTGGAGTGAGGAATCCTGCTAGGCTGGAACTTTTGGGGTTCTGACCAAGGGATAGAAGGAAGGGGGCGCTGGGTGCTGTCCATGGTGCTGGGAGAACAGGGAGCCTTCGTATTGCCTTGTTTCGCGGTCTCCAAACCAACGCGAGGTGTGAAAAATGAAAAGGGACACCAAATCACGGTACAAGGAAATTTACCTCTTAGGAAATGTGGGAAATACGAATGTGGCAGTCTAGGCGGGTCCTACTTTTATTTCTGGGTCATTACAGTGTAGACAGCTATTTTCAAAGTATGTAATCAGCAATTGCTGATGTGCAAAATAAAGAGGAAAAAGAAAAATGAAAACTATGCCTTGAAATTCTAAATATACCCAAGGATAGGCTAATTAGCTATTTCCAGGGCGCTAGGAAGTCGAGGAAGACGGTTGCTTAACTTGCTATCACATTTTATTGAGAAAGGTATTTTTCACCTAAATACTTTTTTGAGTTCTATGTTTGTGAAATACTGAAGTCATATTTTTGTCAACAAGAATAAAAGGAGCAACTTACATGTTGCAGTGTCTGACTAAGAATTCATTCTCTGTAATAAAGCAATACTTTTGATTGCATTACTATAAAGCAAACTATCTTGATTTTTTAAAAGAGGCTTGTGATTAGCAAGAAAGCAGGATGCAGATAGAAATTATTTCAATATTGAGGCAAAGGCCTGTAAATAGAAATGTAAACTGTCGAGTAAAGAGCCGTAGTCTTGAAAAGGACTGTACACACATGCTATAACAGATACATCATTCACTATGCTTGGTAAAGCTAGAATTGTGAGAAACAGGAAAAGGACTGATATTGTTTTAATCACTAAAATCTTATGTATCCTCAGTAACTTGAATCCATGTGACAATGAAGAAGGAAGAGGACATGAATTCAAACAGCTGACACAGTGATCAGCAGCAGCTGACAGCATCGCATTTGATATTTGATATCAAGCACTAGATCAATATTTGTGAGATCAATGAAATTTTAATGGTTTTCTTTCAAAACCGCATGAAAGCCAATCGTGTCACTCTGAACTACTGTTATTTTTTAAAAGCTGGTTATTCCAGGGGATGATATTAAATAACTTACTGAAGTAAGCAGAAGTGAGAGAGGAGGGGTTTCAGGGGTGGTAGGAAACACCACCATGCTGCAAAACACCATGAGTGTTTCTTTAGTTGATAATCCAGGAAAGGTGCACTTTTATTTTTAAAAAGCACTTATTTAAGTATGCTTCTAAAAAGAGAGAAAGCTTTTGAATGATTACTAGGAGGTATATGAGGATGAGTGGGTGAGAGACAACCTTCCAGATACTGTAAGAATTAGGTGGTATCTGAATAAACACAAATGTACATCATAGAAGGGGGGAGACTCTGGTCTTCCCCTCATGTATAGAACTGAGTGGGAAATAACAAACTTTTCTTCATTATTGAGAGTTCCACCTGATACTTAAGCAATATTCTCACCAAGGTAAAATAGGAAAAAATGTAGCTATAAATATTGTCTATTATTTTTCTTAGAAGATTTTCTCCCTTAAAAATAAAATGCCATTTATCTGACCCAGAAGAACACAGTTTTCTAACCTTTAGCTCTATTTAGATAAAATTCTAAACTTGGATTTGTTGGTTTTTACAGGTTTCCTTTTGAGGAGTTCCCACCCAGAGGACTCTCAGGCCTTCAGTCCAGATGGAAACTCCTGGGGAGGGCAGCAGAGGTATGAGCTTCATCTCAGTAGGATCTATACAAAGGTGACAGTTGCACTGGGGAGGGATCTTGACAAGCAGAGGTGTGATTTCTCAGATGACAAAACCCAGAAAATAGCTTTCATTCATAATTCAACATTAGTTTAAAATTTGGGGGAAGGAATTTGCTTTTCACTGAAATAATAGCAACATTTTAGGAAATTTCTGACAACTCTAAAGGCCTCTCAATCTTCAGAAAGAATAAGATACTTGAGACTAAGCCATTCTTAGCTTCCCCCAAGTGCTTCCCTCTTCTTGATTCTAGCAGGTTGTCTAAAGAAACTTTACATGAAGTTCACATTCCTGGGGTTTTACAGAAACGTACTTCCCATCTTCTGCTCTGTAAGAAACTAGGTAGAGAAAGAATTTTCCAGGATTTTAATGACCCCATAAACAACAATAACAACAACAATTCATGGTTTGCATGTGTCTCTATGCTCTTTTGTATTCAAAATTGGCAGAGTGCCTACAAAACTAAAAACATTCGCAGTTTAAATCAATTTTCTTTAATGAAATAAAGCCAACCTTACACACAAGTACACATTACATACTAGCAGATATTTACAGAGGCAGCACAAGCTTGGAGCATTTAAGAATATTTATTGCAATGCCTTGAGGGTTTTCCATATGAAAAATCTATTTCATAAAGATTCAAACTTTCATGAAGATCAGCACATACAGAGCACCTATGTTATAGACACTGACTAAATACACACATATTGTATATGTTGTCTGTGAAATGAGCAGAAAGGCATAAGTATCCTATATAAAGCTAAGTCTATATGAGACATATAGATGCTTATATACATAAAGTTTTCTATTTGATCTTAAAAAACCATCAGGTATTTTAAGAAAGGAAATGAACTCTATAGTCAATGGTAATTATTTTGGACTTCATTTTGGCAAATCATAATTTGACTAATAATTTTTCCTCATAGGATGAGGAATTTTAAGTGTTAGCGCAGCAAAAATCTTCTCCTTAAGCCACTTTGAAGCGATGTTAGTGAGTCTACAGTAGTCACATCTACATGGTAATCTCTGGTTTTGCCTTCAAACAGAATTCTGTTACAAAGGACTTGGAAAGATTTTTGAATCTATTCAGGAGAGGAAAACTCTTTAATTTTCTGAGGAGTAAAAACTCCCCAAGAAACTTCATATAGCTTCTTAGATTTTGCTTCACATACGTGATAAAACATTGATTGTTGCAGTCTGGTGACCCATGAAATTTGGGGGTTAGTTTTCTCTTCAGACCAGAGCATATAATTATGCAAATAAAGAGCTGTCACTGATCTAGTGAAATACTCACAAACACATGCACTCTGAAATTGGACAGAAAAGGGAAAATGGTTTGTGATGTGTGTGCCGTGGTTTGCTTTCCTGCCAACTTTCCATCTGAGTTCATTATTCAAATCGTAAACTTTAAAGAGACATATCGTTCTTGGGGTGTTGGGTGTCTTTCACTTCAGATTCTTTGTTTTGGGCACAAAGTAAGTTCAATATCATTTTATCTATGAGAGTTTCGTATGTCACCCAGTGTAACAGCCACAGGAGAAAAAGCTGAGTGACCTGGACAGGCAGGTGTGGGACCTTCATACATTTCTTCCTAGAAACACGCTTCACAGTGACATAGACAATATTCGGTTTCAAAAATACAAAGAGTATAATGAAAGGTTTTACAAACTTCAAGGCAAAGGGCCAGGAAAAGTTGCTTGGAAAGATATGAAGGATTAAGTAAAATTTTCATCTTCTAAGTTTTACATTTACAAGAAAATACTGGCCATTCTATGATGTCCAGGTAGTGATCAAACCTTGAGGACAATTTTCTCTAAACAGCAACTCTTAAGGTTTTGCGATTCATTTTCCATTATGGTTCCTACAAACCTTAATACTGAGAATTACCAATAATTCTTCATTCGATCAGTCACATGAGTCTTGAGATTTCCCAGTCCCAAAGTTACCCTTGCGAGGTGGTTGCACGGTTTTAGATGTCATGAAGGGTCCCACTGATGAAATCTGAGAAGTCTTTTGTCAAACCACTGACTGCTAAAGACATTGCTTCATGAAAGCAACGGTGTGAAACTTTAAAAACATTGACCCAAATGAATCAATTAAATCAACATCCATTCCATCTAGGGTACGGTTTAAAAATTATCATTGTCATTTAAAAAAGCAGATTTCCAGAGAAATGCTGGAATGTTTTGATAACTGTTTCTGTTCTTGGACCTCTCTTAATGCATTTTGTGCTACCCTCTTCCAACATCTTCCAGTAGGTGGATATCCTCTGAGTACAGTGTATGGCAGTTGCAATGGTTTAAATCTCAAACCACCTCACAAAGCTAATGCTTTAGGTGGGGTAGTTTTAAGCTCTGAAAAGTGTTGATTAAAAACCCTTTCCCAGACTCAACCTGATCAGTTTTTTTTTTCCTGGAGATTAAGACAATATTAGATAAAATGAAGATGAACAGTTCAAGAGGCTCCTACTCAGTCATTCTATACAGGGAAGTAAGGAAAGTATTACATTTTTTGAAAGGGGTATGTCTTTGAGTCTTTTATAGTATTATGACAAAGGGGATATAAGTAGTCACCACAATTATCCCCCCTTTGCAATCATATTTCAAATATATGACTGTTTCACGTTTATTTTTTTAGTCTGTCCCCCACAAGAATGAGAAAAATTTCCAAAAAATTTGGCAGTGTGTAACTTTATACTGTGAAAACTACTTAATAGTAATTTTTCTTAAATGAATTTGGAATACAGTTTCTTACAGGAGCCTATAAGTTAACAATCTAAACAATGGTTACAACATGTAAGATACATGTTTAAATTAGAACTGTGCAATCCAGAGAAACAGGAAAAAAATCTAATTTTAAATTACCAGTGCTAATTTAGTTGCCACACTCTGTCACCCAAAGCCCCTTCAAAGGAATGGAAGGCATCTGAAGGAAAGGCTGCAACAAATGGAAACAGGTCAGTTTTGAACTGGACACACTTTAACAAGGTCTGACCATTAGCAGTTTGGCCAACTTACTCTTACTAGGCTCCCTTTAAGAAACATATTTACTGTATATTAATGGTTATTTTTTAAAGCATTTTGAAGACAAGTTGTTCTAACTTCCTTATCTACATATTAAAAACACTTGGCTAAAAATGTTATTTTTATGACATATGTGAGCCAGGTAGATCGTCAACTAATGTTAGGATATTGTTGTATAGCAATAGCAATAGTAATAATAAGTAGCTCTAATGCCTATAATGTTGATGTATATGGTCCAGTCACTTTGAGGTCTCAGCTTGGAAAGCCTCTGTGCAGGTGATGAAAAAAGAGCTGAAGAGAAATAAAACACAGCTGCTTGTTGACAACCTTATTTATTTTAAAATGTTAAACAGAAAAGAGATGATAGGAGACTCTTGTGCTTTATTTATTTATTTTTGATATAGAAACAAAAATGTATTCCAGGAAGCACAAGGCAGAACTCTGAGAAAAGAACAATTATCACAAGTAAATGGTCTTTCAGATACCCAGGGTGACTTTCAAGGACTGCATGTTGGGTCACTTTAGAAAGTTCCAAAGCGATTGCCTGGCACTGAAGCTTCAACAGGACTGTTCTGAATCTCCAATTCATGTCTTTCTCAACCTATTTATTCTAAGAACTAAGCATATGATTGGGGGGGGGGCACGGCCAGCTTTTAAACCATTACATGTGTAGACTCTTTTAAAGAAAATAACAGGGAGAAGACCAGAGAAGAAATATTACCATTGGCCACCACTCTGCAGGCAGCGGGGTACTGCCAACTGCTTGCTGTTAGCAAATACCAATAGCATCCCAATCCACAGGTTAGGAAATCCTGTTTTATAAGGAAGTGCTTTGCTTTGCTCCCTCTGGGTTGCTACAGTGCAGATCTACAAATAGTAATAGACATTTACAAAACATAACTTTGTAAATTGTTCTCTACCAGACAAGTAACAAGGTAACAATTCAGTGATTGTAAGTACTCATCCCAAGGAAACAGTGACTTTCTCTATGTAAGTGAGAAATCTGGAGAGAAGGACCAGGAATCCTTTGGTTCATAAGCTGAGTGCATTTACTTTGCTTTAACTCAGCTTAGCAAATTTATTCCTGTATAAGTGTTGGCTTTTTGTTTTAATGTCACAAAGTTAGTTTCTTGTGAATATTTTCATATACTGAAAACATCATATAATGTATAACATTTGGTAAGATACATCAATCAACAGCAATTTTTCAAACCCAGTCATTAGGAAGATATTATTTTTACAGAGTTCACCAGACCTTCTAAAATTAGAAATGTAAGGGTCACTATGACAGAGCAATGTGCTTAACATTGTTAAAGTAACACATTTTAAACTGCCCAGGAGCTGGATAAAATGCAATTTTGATTCATCTTGAGTTGCTTCCGTTTAAGTAATATCAGAAGACGGCCAGACATGACCACTGGCCACTTTACTTCCCTGGCACTGAAAACAGAACTATTGAATGCATGTATACGCCAAAGAACACGAGATATAATCAATTTTAAAACCTGCTGAAATTAGTTCATAATATTAAGACAATTCTCCATTTTGTCTTAATATGCTTGTTGGGTGCAGATTACCCTTCTGAGGCCTTAGCCAGTGCCACAGAATCATTTCAGACATTCTTTTACATGTTCTCAAAGAAGGCAGATGCATTACTTGTTGAATTTACTTAAGAAAGAACTGTTAGTATTAAATTCACAGTCTCACCCACTGGATATAATCTTCACTAATTAAATCCTTCAAGTAACTAATGTTCTGTTTTAATTTGAAAGTCAGTAAAATGTCGACTTATTTTATCTTCTGTATGTCAGTGTTGGCCAGATCCCCTTAGGTCAGAGAACCTAACCGCTGATAGGGAAAAACCCTATCAGAGGAAGTGGAACACTAAATATCTGGACCTAAAAGAGAGAATGATGGAAACTGAAGCAGTTTAACCTTACTTAGCTTTTCAGAAGGTCGAGGGCATGAACTTTTATTTTTTATTTTTTGTCGACAGTAAAAAGAAAAACAAATCCTGTACCTGAAAGGGTTTACTACATGACAGGTGCACGTACAGTTAGTACGGATTACTAACCACCACTGATGATGCTGCGCAGTGGCAGTACACAGACAGCAAACCTTCGGTGTATCATCTAAATGTACTCCTTATGTTACATAGTTAACAGGAGGGTCCGTTCTTACAAGAAAGTTAGAAATTTCAGTGAAAATGGGGCCTTTTACCTACATCTAAAATATTTGAACATCTTCCTGAACTCTTATTCAACTCGGCAGGTATGTTCAGAAAAAATAATTCGGATTCAGTACTTTATGAACATTTTATGCAAAGTTTTTCTTTTGGTCTTGAAATGGGAATAGGTCGTTACAGGGAGAGAACAATTTGTACTCCCCAAACTACATAATACATCACGGCGGACACGTTCTCAATTTAAAGTTGGCATTTCTGGGACCCGGGAGTGTGGCCTTCTATAAAAGAGTGCTCACAAGATGACCCGAGGGAAAAACCTGGTTACAGTTAAAGTTTGAAGTCTAGAGTAAAAGCTTGCTAAGTTAAGGGGGAGTAAAAATGGGCAGGGTTGAGACTGGGCAGCAGTGGCCGCGCTGCAGCGGGCGGTAGGACCGCGCAGACGCCGCTTGGGCAGCAGCGCCCGCGGCTCGGCCGGGCGGGTGGAAGCGGGGAGGACCGTGGGGCTCGGGCGCAGGGTCGCCAACCCCGGCGCGAAGCCCCGTCTCAGCCCGCAGAAAATGCGGCCACCGAGTCCATATTGCTTTGACAGTTGCACTCATCTAGAAATAATTCAAAACGCTATTTAGACGAACACAGGACGACCCTGTGCTGTAGGAAGAGAGCAATCTCAAGGGGGCCCCAGGCTGCGGGGCGGCGGGCGGCGGCGAGCTCACAGCTCCTCGTGCTTGATCCGGTGCGAGCGCCGCGTCAGGGCGGGCTTCTGGGAGCCGCTCCTGGCCTCCGAGGCTTCCGCGAAGAACTTGAAGATGGACGGGAAGCTCTTCCAGGAAGTTAGCTCGTGGCGGTCAGTGCCTGCGGAGACACACGCGGGATTACAAGGTGTCTCGCGGGGGTGTAGCCACCCGCAGGCGGCGAGGAGCCCCGCCCTCCCGGGGAGCGCCCGGCCACCGGCGCGCTCACCCGCCAGCTCAGGGACCCGGGTTCCGCCCGTCCACGCCTCCCCACGGGGGCCAGGACTCGCCCGCAGGGCCCCTGAGGGAGCGGCCAGGAGCGCCCTGGCCTCCGGCGCTCCGGGCCAATCGAGTAGCTCGGCGGGAGTGCCACTCCCTCTCCCGCCTACAAACCACCCACTTCCCCGGGCACGGGATTGGTTTCCCCCGGCGTGCAGGATCCCGAGTCTACCACACCCACCCCAGAGTGCCCCAGAGTCTTGGCTCCCAGGCTCCGTGTGTTTGTGTGTGTGTCTGTGTGTGTGTGTGGGGGGGGGGGGGGTCGGAGGGGGAGTTGGAGAGGAGGGGGAAATCGTCAGAGTCTCTGATGCTGGACAAGACTGCTTCAGCGAGGTCACCGGGACCAAATCACAGTAGATATTTAATGCAAGGACAGATTCAAAAGAAGACCAGGGGCCTTGAAAGTATCCTAGGCGGGCCACACGCTTTACACTTTACAGAATTTAGGAGGAGAGAGCTAGAAAAGCCAGACAAACAAAGTGTTTCAAAGCGGAACCACTGAAAGCATTTTTGTCCCCTATTCAGTCGGGGTGTTCAGAGGAGCTGTAGATTTTCATTTACCAGATTATTTTACTACAGCTTCTGTCTTTGACTTGGGTTGAACATTATACACTATTTTTAGAATCAAATGGAACCTTTAGTTTTACAAAAACAGAAAGTAACATGTATGCATGGAAATATACGAATAACCCGGGCTTTAAAAAACCATTTTTGATAGGATAAATAATTCAATCAATAACTTCATAATAGATTTTTAATTAAGCATAATTATAAATACTCCCCTCCTATAGAAATTATGAGTGGTTAGCTTGGAAACAGTTAGAATCTCATCCTCGATCACTTATTTATGCAGATACTGCTCAGATGTCTCCGAATTCAGGGCCTCTGATACTTTAACATTGTTAATGATAATTCTTTAGTCTGTAATAGTAGGTCATTGCTATGGTTACTCTACAATGGTGCAACACTTTGCCTTCCCCCTTCAGCTATTCGCTGAGACCTGGTAACCACATTTGTTGCCTAGCAACAGCTTTGTGACAGTATCACAATCTGGGAATTCTAACAATAAAGATGCTGTGGCTGCACTGGCTGGCCAGTTTGTGCAGGTGACTCAACTGAGGAAAGTGTCCTTACTGAGGACTCCTCTCTTCACAGGGTGGCTTCACCTCCCTCTTCGCTGGCCTCATGAACCTGTACTTGGAACTAAAATCCAATATTGAAGTCGCACTCTGGAAATATATCCACATCACTGTATTCAGACTGAAAAATGAGGTCATTTCTTATATGCTTGCACATTTTTGGCAAAATTCAATTTCTTCAGTGGGAGGGATTGATGAGAATAGGTTTTACTGGTAAATCCTCAAGGGTCTGAATGAATTCTGATAATTTCTAATAGAATTTTTAGGGGGAAAAGTCTGACTTCAGAAGTATGTGTGTAAAATTACTAGATTTTTTAAAAGGCTATTTATTTGTTGTGTACAGCTCTTGAAATATTGGTAGGCATTCTCATATATTAATATTGTTAAGTATAGATTGATATTGCCACTGAGATTAAATTTTGAATTGGGCAAGTGCTACATTTGATCTTAGTCACATGTGGTTGCTTGGAATTGAACTCGTGACCTCGGAAAGAGCAGCCAGTGCTCTTAACCTCTGAGCCATTTCTTCAGCCCAAATTACTAGATTTTTTTTTTAAAACACAAGGAATATGCTGATATTATTTTATTTATTTTTACTGTTAGTCAAATTATGCTCATCAAGGATTCCTTTGGATTTGGAGGTAGTTACACTATCAAAACACAAGTGAACAGTTCTACACACCCTCAAACATGCTGTTTCAAATAAATGCCACGTGTATTTCTGGAAGGAGGCTCTGTCTCTGGGCAGGTTTATGAAAAGTTTGTCTTTTTCTGCAGTTTCTCTGCCATCCACTTTTAATTTAGTAATAACTATTAAACTGCACTCATGAGGACAGTCTTTCATCTGTAGTTCCTCTTTTTGAAGGACCGTCCTCAGATGCATATGGCAACAGCTCTTTGCACACACACTAAGTCTGTGTGCAAGCTTTAACTCTTTTCTTTCCCTCTTCCTAACTGTCTACTCACATTTAGCATTTCTCCATAATGATCTGTTACAACTAACAGTGTTGCCCAGGAGAGAATTCTCCCACAGTTCCTCTTTCTCCTTGAAAACCAATCCAATCTATGACACTGGAGGGACTTGGAAGTTAAGGTCTCAGGCAGTTTTAGCCCCTTGCCCTTCTCCCTAGTGACGATCTTTCTGAGGGCTGGACAGATACCCTGGAAGATAAAAATCCCTAAAGAATTCTTTTTGTTTTCAGCTCATGGTAACTCTCTGCTTCAGTAGTCCTGGTCTGTGGAGACAGCAAGCAATGGAGAACTGCAGGTGCTCTCAATGTCTACCCTTGGGAATAGATGGGATGATAGATCTTTCTGCTTTCACCAGGAGGGAGGATTACTAGGAAAGAAAGTAGACTGCCAACTGAGTCACCTACTTTAGGTAACTGAGTTAAGGCAGGGAGGGCGGATGTTTTTTCTAAAGTAAGAAATGGTAAATGCATATTTTTATCTTTATAAAAATCTTCCTTTTGAGCTGGTGAGACGGTCCAGCAGGTAGAAGTGTTTGCCACTAAGCCCAACAACCTGGGTTCAATCCCCAGGATCCACATGGCACAAAGATGGAAATAATCCCAGGAATTGTCTTCTGACCTCTGTATGTGTGCCATGGTGCATGGGCCTCCCCCACACATTGAAGAGTAATATAAAAATCATAAAAATTTGATAGACTCCATCCTTATAAGAGTCACAGGCAATTAACGGTTGCTGAAATAGGGGAGTCTGGCTTCCTTGGGGACAGCCCCTTGACAGGCTATTCAATCCATGTGGACTGCCTCACTGTCATGTGCAGCAGGAAATGGACTACACATGCACACATGCATGCACACACAGACGCATGCACGCACAGACGCATGCACGCATATAACACTACTAAGGAGGAGGTCAGTAATTAGAGGAGAGGTTATCATGGAAGGAGTTGGAGCTGGCAGAGGATAGGTGGAAATGTTGTGAATAATGTATGAAATTCTCAAAAACTCTTTTAATTAAAAAATTCTTAAGATTTGGAAGTGATCTTTGTGCATGTGTTCATGTGTGTGCTTGAGTGCACATGTGTGTGTATGTGTGTGTGAACTTTACCAAGTAGCATAGGCTGGCTGCTTACTGATCTCTGTTGATCTGCCTGTCTCACTCTGCCTTCCCAGTGCTGGGACTCCAAGCATCTACTACCACACACGAATTTCTTCTATGTGCTTTCTGAAGATTGAACTCAGATCCATGAAAGGCAAGCATGTTACTAATGGAGCCATTCCCCATCACTGGAAGTGAATCTTTAACATTTAAAAAGTAGCATCTGGAAGATGCACAATTACATGTCAGTCTTGGTTTGCATGCATACTTTTTTTTTTTTTTGAGATAAGGTTTCTCTGTAGCTTTGAAGCCGACCTAGAACTAGCTCTTGTAGACCAGGCCTTGAACTCACAAGAGATCCGCCATCTCTGCTTCCCAGGTGCTGGGATTAAAGGCGTGAACCACCACCACCCGGCAACATGCACACTTTCTTCTTCCTTTTTTTTAAAAAAATTATTTATTTATTATATATACAGTGCTCTGTCTGCATGCCAGAAGAAGGAACCAGATCAAATTACAGATGGTTGTGAGCCACTTGGTTGCTGGGAATTGAACTCAGGACCTCTGGAAGAGCAGCCAGTGCTCTTAACCTCTGAGCCATTGCTTCAGCCCCCCACACTTTCAATATATGTTTGGACATCATTTAAAACAGTTCAGTGGGGCTGGAGAGGTGGATCAGTAATTAAGATCACATGTTGCTCTTGCAGAGGACTTGGGTTCATTTCCCAGCACTCACATGGCGGACAACAATCATCTGTAACTGCAGCTGTAGAGTATACAATACCCTATTCTGGCTTTGTGGGCACTGTACTGCACAGTCATAAATGTAGGCAAAGCAACAGCACATATAATAAAATTAAAATAAATCTTAAAAAAATTTCAGGGACAAAGTTCCATTGAAAATATTGACAAATTAATAAGAGAATCTGCACACAACAGTGCTCAAAGAATGTTCACTTAAAATATTTATTTTTAAATTTGGGTATTTTGTGTTTGTGTGGATATGGAGTGCATGCTTTCGAAGGCTGGAGGTTTCAGGTCCCTGGACCTAGTACTGGAGTTACAACCAGTTGTGAGCTGTCTGTTCTGGATAGCTTTATGTCAACTTGATACAAGTTGTAGTCACCTGAGAGGAGGGAGCCTCAATTAAGAAATGCCTCCCCAAGATTGGGCTGCAAGCCCGTAGAGGATTTCTTAATTAGTGATTGATGTTGGAGGGCCTGGTTCATTGTGGGCTGGTGGCCCTGGGTTCTTTAGGAAAGCAGAATCAGCGAACCATAAGAAGCAAGTTAGTGAGCAGCTCCTCTCCATGACAACTGCCCTACTTGAATTCCTATCCTTATTTCTTTGATTTCTTTCAGCAAACAGTGCTGTGGAAGCATAAGCCAAACAAACCCTTTCATCCAGCACTGATAACCCTAGCTGAGAACCGCGTGAAGCAGTGCTGGGAACCGAAACAAACCCTTTCATCCAGCACTGATAACCCTAGCTGAGAAACCGCGTGAAGCGGTGCTGGGAACTGAAGTCAGGTCCTCTGGAAGAGCATTGCTTTCTTTAACCATCGCGCCATCTTCCTGGCTCTATAAATAAGGTAGCACTGAGCATGGCATTCTCACAAAGGAGGAGAGAAGGCAAC